AATGGAATTAATATGAGAAAATGGAAAAATGGAAACAAAGTCTTTGTAAATAAGGAGGGATGGAGGGGTTGAAGGGAAGGTAGGGGAAGGGGGAAAAATAAGAACCAAGAGAGATTATGTAAAGGTGCAAATTTCCAGTGATAAATGTCATTATATTGTATACCTAAAATGTACTTATAAAATAAAATTTTAAAATAAAGTAATAATACTTTGGACTGACCCATGAAAATAAATTCAATGCCACATAATTGAACACAAAATGAAAGACCCATCAACAAGTCATTCTTGTCAAGTCTTGAAACAGAAGATTCTAAAGGAAAAAATGTGTATATTTTTCGTCTTTCCATTTCTACCAGATTATAAAAGAAATATCTATCAGTGTCTCTATCTATTTTTCATCATTCCATTTATACCTTAGTATCAAAATTTCTAGAGATGAGCCAGAATGGAAATCATTCCAAAGATTAACACTTAAGCGTGATGCTGAGAGCTATGTGCCTGGATTTAGCAACATTAACAGAAGCCAGCATGGCTAAATCCTCTTACATCCCACTGGAAAAGCGCCCTTTCGTGTCAACTCTGCTTGACAAGATATTCTGTGGCACTCAGAAAGGTGAAATTTCTTACAAGGCTACAAGATTAATGGCTAGAAGAACTGCATTTTCACAGATATTATAAAGTGTTTTAAAAAGCCAAAGGGGATATAATCTTACAGACATTTCCTGTTAGTGAATAAAGAGATTAGTAGCTTTTGGATACATGAGAGAAAAAGAGATACCAGCTTGTGTTAAAGTTTGTTTTTTTTGCTTTCTTATATCTCATTCACATTACACTCTGGAACACTGTTCTTTTCTGTTACTAAAATTAAAATACTACTAAAAAGGCAAGCAGAATGATAACACGCATGTGCAAGCACACACAACTCCAAATTCTGTCAGTTTCTGGGTATATTGCAAATTATACGGTATATACAGATTTATTACTTAATTATCTCTAGAAGAGCAACTAAAAGTAAATTTTATAACACAGAAAAATAAATAAATATACACCCTGTATTGTACTTTTTCTTGCTCAAGCAACATGTTTATAAACTAGTTTCTATAAGTTAATACCATGTAATATTATTTTAAAGTTACAAAAGAAGAACTGTATTAAGAAAGAATCTAATCATATTGCTCTTCGATACACTTATGCAGACATTTAAGACTTGAAGTAAATTTGCATAAACTGCAGCTTTTCTTAGCCCACACATGGCTATGAAACCTATCCTTTCAAGTAGATCCCTGGGAGTTTCAAAAGGGGCTGCCTTCAATTCAGTCTTTAAAGGTGCTATATATTTATATATGTCATGTACAAAATTTTTTAGAAGTAGTGGGAAAGATTTTGTTGCTATTGTGACATAAGATAATGTTTACCCTCATGTTCTTCTCTATACAGGCTATTGTTGCTTCATAAAAAATGAAAACACTAAGAGGAAGATTCAGAGATTTTAGTAAAACACTGATTACAAATTATGGGGCTGAGGCAAATGCTCGGCTAAGGTTTAGAAATCACGGTTTTCCCTTTTTCTCCCCTTTTGTTAAAATAAATCTCGGGGCTGTTTACAAAGTGCAGAATCATTCACTTGAAGATGTGACAGTGGAAGAAATCACAACGGCACCATCCCGTTTACCAGCTGCACCTTCATTTCTTGAAGGCTGTTCATGATCTTCTTCTGGTGACCGACAAGAGTCACTCCAAGATGTTTCAAATCCCTGCATGAAGAAAGCACACATTGGGTGTATGTATTGATTTAGTTTGTAGCACACTTCAATAATTCACGCTGGCAAACCTTTTGCAGAAACTAGCAAGTGAGTACAGTCCCAATTTAGACATTCAGAGTCCAATTTTCAAAGGTAGACTAAAATTGTACCTTGAAAAAAATCAATGTACAATGTACAATGTTAAAAATTATATTTTTAACAGGAAATGACAGTACATATTCATCCCTGTTGAACATCATTATTTAAATAGCACAGAGTGGTGGAAAAACAAATTTGCTCATCATACCAATAATTATTGAACTTAAAGGGTACAATTTCATTGAACAGTTTTGAAAATGTGGACCTACAATGTGTGTAAGATTTGGTTTTTTGCTAAAACATTAAAATATAACTGAAAAATTCACAGTTAAGCAGTTGAAAAGCAGACACTTTAAATGCTTTTTTCTATACAATCATTATATACATAAATATTTCTAGGGAATAATCAATTACTACATTGCTCTTATAATAATAGTTTGGTTAGTTTTTACTTTGGACCCAAAGTATGGGAGCTTTTTTTCCTTTCAGATAACATCTAGGCTCTATTGGCATGTTGAGCAGTCTGAAGATTACACACTATCAAACAGTCCTCAGATATTTTTTGTGCATTTTACAAAACAAGTGTTAATCAAAAGAAAACTACAAATGTTTAGATTTCTAAACCAACACAACATACTGTTGAACTCAAGACAGAGTAAGTGCCCATAGATTTTAAGTGTTATTTTATAAGATATTTATGAATGCTATTAACCTAAAGTGTGCACATGAAAATATAATAATTCTTGCAGATTTGAAAAATAAAATGCATCAAATATAGAAAAAATGAGAAGTAACAATTTAAAATTCTAAATGACAAAGATGTTTGCCATATAAGATTTCCGTACTTTGCTGACCATATTAGGCTAAAAAGGGAACATTTTTGCACTTACTAAGTGCTTTAATTTCAGATTTCCTTAGATTGCAACAGAGTTGAAGACAATATCTTAATTATTTTAGATAAAATTGAACAAGGTAACTCAAAGGTATCTCTGAATTATTAGAGAATAAAAATTAAAGGACACCTAGTCTCCCTCTGAATTAGTATGAAAAATAATACCTAAAAAAGAACATTTTTGCACTGAGTGCTTTAATTTCAGATTTTCTTAAAATTCAACAAAATTGGAGACAATGATATCTAATTGAATAGTTTTAGATAACTCATAAAATCTCTAAATTATTAGAGAATAAAAATTAAAGGATGCAGAGTCTCTGACAAATATTAAAATTGCATATTAAAATAATTTTTGTTTCTTTTTGTGTTACTGATTTCTTATGAGAATTTTGGGGAATAAGACAAAAAAGTGTTATTGATATGGTTAGAATGTGAATATTGACCTTAGAAATTATTATATTTACAAGACACCAGAGTACAATATAAAAATAATGATGGATATAACATGGAAGAGACTCTATCAGCAAAACTTAATAATCAGGAAAAGTCACTTGGAAGCAAAACCAATTTTAGTACAATAATGAAAATGACTACAAGAAGGTGATTACAGACTAAACTAGAAATAAAAGAGACTTGAATTGAACCTTGTTCTTTTTCAACTGAATCTGGATTTCTCAGTTTTGCCTCCGTTAACATTGCAGGCTGGATAATCCTGTGCCGTTGGAGACACTGTCTTGGGCAGTGGGGGACCTAATCAGGTTCGGAGCTCCACCCACTCGGGCCCGGCAGCCCACCCCGCACTGGCCCTCCCTGTGATGAGACAAAATGTCTTCAAACATTGCCAGATGTTCTGAGGAACAAAATCTCCCCTGGTTGAGAATAATATGATTAAACCTAAGTACAGTTGGTGAGAGTTAATAGACATGTACTTTGCATTTGGTAAGAAAATATTTAACTCATACATATTATGTATTATATGTATGAAATTTTTTTTATGGATTAAGAAACATAGGTTTGGGAAATTTGTATCACTGTATCACTTGGGTAGATAACACAGCCAGTATGTAGCAGTGATAGGGCTAAAATCAGTCCACACTCTTACTTTCTTATTATTTTCAAATATTATTTTGAGCACAGCATGTCAAACTAAATGCAACAATTTATTCATCTGTAAAATGAGAGCTCTATAAATGTAACATCAAATACTTGAAATTCAAACAAAGAAGTATCTAATGAAGGGAACTATACACATATTTGCTATGATAATGCCATATATCTTTTCTGACAGTTTCCATTATAGGATGATTAATATTATTTTTCCATATATTTCATGAGTCATGAAGAGCTGTGTATATATGGTATCAAACAGTACACCAAAGCTGGGATAGAAGGGACTTAACTTTTAAGCTTTTAAGTTGTTTAATCTGAAAACAGTCTCTACTACAGAATTCAACCAGGAGGAGAAGTGATATTTGAAAACATACAGTTTACCATAAGTGTTGTAAACTTATAAGTGACAGTCATGAATTAAAGTTGGGAAGTACAGATTGAATCTGTGTATATACATGGAAGTACATAAGTTGCATCATTCAAAATTACTATACTGATTATTAGGAATAATATTTTGAGAATAACCATTACATTTTATTCTTAATGACCAAAAACCCCCCAAAATTTATAGGTTTTCCAACTTAAACAGCATGGATTTTTCATGTACAATAGCAAAACTTTAATTTGAAGGAGTATGCATGTCTTTGTATTCCCTATGGCATGTCTTGGTTGTTTGGTCCAAAAACTATCAAATCACTAGTTTTATTTAATTTGTATCTAGGATCTTAACCTGTTATATTAAAAATAAATGTAATTTCTTTCTCTTGATATGATTTGACCACAACAATTGACATTTTTCAATATTATCAATGTATCATGCTAAGGAATGAATGTTTGAGAACTTATATTTAGTTAATATAAATGGATACAGTGTGTGTGTTTATAGGAAGGTAAATGCTTCGGTACTTCAGAACACTCCATACAAATAGATTTTAAGTTAAATTTGTCTAACTCTTCTACTATACTGTACATAACATTTTATTTCAAGGTCAATTTATTATCCAGCGTGTCACTCAAATCCATATAGACAATCAGGCCACTAAAATTATCTTCTCCATCTCTTTCTCTTCCACTTTGTCCCAATCTGCTTTGTCTATGAGAAAAATTGAATTATAAAATTATAGCATTGCATTTTACAAATTACAATACTGCATGTCTTCAATGGAATACTGTGGTTTTATTTTACATCTTATGTATTATTTTTCAGAGCCACCAAATTAATGCACAGAGGTTTAGAAAATATAGTGCTTACAATGGATTCAAGTATATATACATTTATGAAAATTTCATGAAATTTTCATGAAAATGTGCAGAGAAATAAGATAACTAATGCAAGTTTATTTTTTCTCAATAGCATAACATTCTTTTAAAACTCCATTTAATATTTTTCTGATACCACATATGAAAGTTAAAATGATATTAGAAAGGGGCTGGGGATTTAGCTCAGTGGTTCCAGCACCTGCCTTGCAAGCTCAAGGTTCCGAGTTTGATCCCCAATACAAAAAAAAAATGCAAAGGTTAAATATCTTATCTCAATATTGATAAATACATTGAACTATTTTATGTAGTTTTGCCTCACATTTTTGCTTTTCCTACAGTTCTCACTTTACTATATAATGTGTATGACAAATGATCAGATTAGAAGTAAGAATGTGGGAAAACAGAAAAAGAAAATATTTTATATTGAAATTTCTGACTTTACACAGTAAATTTTGAAGAAATACTTGAAAATGGTGCATTCTATACTATTTTCTCACTTCAGTTTACTGTTTGTAAAATTTTATTGGCACGGAGATCAACAAACAAAAATATCTACATGTGTCTCCTTTACAAATATTATACTAATTTCATCGTGACCACATGTCATCTTAAGCAATATCTGAGGCCAATTCTAATGATAACAAACTGTACCTAAGTTTAGGCTTATAAATCTAAGCATAATGAAAAGAATATTCTTATGTAAAAACAGTTTGTATTTTGTTGACAATAGTCTTTGAAAAGCTGCATATCATAATGAAAAGTCATTGTTGAGATTACATTCCAGCATTATTTCAAACACTATTTAATGATATTAGACAATGAAAAAAACATTGTCTTAGCATTTTATGATGCTAAACTGGTAAAACAAAAATATAAAGATTAATAAGAGGTATCTAGCTGATGTTGGAGCCAGTAGTTGATTATGCAGGATAAAATTCATCCAGTTGTGGATGACTTATTCCCTGGATTATTATTCTTCCTTCAGCTTTACACACTGTTTAGCCATTCTACTGGAATTTAGTCCATCAATACTGGCTGGATATTACATTCCTACACTGGAGTGGTTTTGTTTTTCTTATGTTATAATTTTATCTGCATTTGTGTATTTGTTTCAGAGAATCCAATAATCATTTACATAGCTATTCTACACGGTAAATATATGTACAGCCAGCAAGAGGAGATTTAACCATGGCTTGTTGATAGTTTTAAATAGATAAAACCTCCTGAGTGTGGACTTGAAGGTTTCACTTAATTATGTAGAAAATAGAATTCTCTTGTGTATGCTTTAATATACTTTAAATTATGCATAATTGCTTTCTAAATAAGTTAATAAATCTAGTTGAGTGTCTATACAAATTTGGCTTTAGATTTGGAAAACATTCATTGTAGTTTAAGATTCCATTCTATTAAATGAGAATAAGAGGAACCTCTTCAGCTTGTACCCAATTGGTATAATATTTAAAATCACTGAATTTTGCTCATTTTCTGAGCTACCTAAATTTGACAGTACTGGTCTGACAAGATGTCTGAAAAGCAGCTGTGATTCTTTTCTTAATTGAAATCTTTCCATTCAATTTGCAATGTGCTTTAAGTCAAGCTCATGAAAATTCACTGCCCTTATACTTGAGAGTACAGTTGTTGTCATTACTGACACAATATTTTATTCAAATATGAATGCTACACATAGAATAGCAAGGCTTTGGCACGGAGATGAACAGACAAAAATATCTACATGTGAAAGCTATTTTCAGTCAACATTCTTGAATTCCAGGACTTCTAAATTCTTCACTTGTCCATATTTACACATGCCAGCATGTCCTGGAAAATAATTCATACAAAAACTTCTATGAACAAAGTTTTTAACCAAATGAGGTGGCACAGATAGACTGTATTTTTTAGTTTTCTTCTAAACCTACTATGAAAGCAAATTTGACGTTACAAATTACAATAAAAAGTCTTTTATATATGTCACTTTGAGCATTTTATGAGTTGATTCTAGCATTTTTAATCATTTAAAAGAGCTATGTATGTATTCTTCCATCCTCAGGTTTTATAAGCCCATAACAATAATTCTGAGAATAATATTTTATTATTTACTATATAATAAATATTACATGAGCTTCATAAAATTAATATTTAGATATTGGTTGAAGACTATGTGAAGTCGTTATCAGGGTGTGTTGAAATATTTTTCTTGCTTTTTGCGGAAAATACTATTGTCCTTTCCAATTACAGTAGTTCTTAGCAATGACTGGCTATTTTTTCTTTTTGTAGAAGGTAAAAAATGACAAATGATTTTGTCTTAATTCTGGAAAAAACAAATTACTGATTACCTCTCATTTTGTGAGTTAACATAATATCTCGATAAATACATTCTTACCAATTAGGAAAACTGTGACCAAAAACACAGTAACCAGAGAACATGTATTGAATGGTGCTGAACTTTCCATGAAATTTACTTCATTAGAGTTACAATTTGCTGGCCCAATTCCTAGGAAGGAACAGCATCATCATTCTGGGTCCAGGGGTGTGAAGCTTTTGTCAGTATTAGAAGGCCAACATCCTCTGAAAAGGAAGATGTTCTAAGTTGCTTAGTTTCATACTACTTGTTGGTCAGAGTTAATGAAATAAAAGACAGAATCTTGGCAGGAAGCAATATGGCAGAGGCAGCAAGCTAGAGAAGAACCATTAGAAGAAGACAGAGAGGAGGTTAGGATTTGAGAAGAAAACACCACAATGAAGAGAGTCTGGGACTACAGGAACATACAGCAAGGTAGACAGAAAGGAATTAAATGGAATAACAAGTGGAACAATAACATAAAAATATTTGATATATTTGTAGTATTTTGGGACCCCAAAGAAAAAAAGTAAAACATGAGTAGTTAAGGCAAAACCATTCTTTATGATTATAACTTATCTGGAAAGTAAAAAACAAAAATGTAGATCTAACTATACATGCATGTATGCTACCTTAATAAAAAAAGAGACATTGTTTAATGCAAATAATTTTATTATATATTTACAAGTAATCTGACATTGGGTAGAAGAAATACCTACAGTATCATTTTAATATAAAATGACAAATGACTTTAATAAATTAAAATGACCATTTTTACTGAAAAATTAAATAGCAATCATGTAAAAATAGCTTGAAATTATCAGTAAATTTTTCAGTATACTATTTTAAATATACCACACATGAGTTCCTTTGACTGTCCGAGGAAATAATGGGCAAAAGGGATCAGGTAGATATGATTTGGTAAGGAAGTAAGAATGACATTGGATACATTTAAAAAGCAGGTAGAGTGCCTGTGATATTAGTTCTGTTTAGTTCTTAGTATAAAGGAAGAGAAAGCAGAGACTGTGACATTAATTAGGATAAATGATGGTACCCTGTTACCTTTTGTGGAGATTAGCTGTGAATTCAGTGAATCAAAGAATGTCAGAATAGTAGAGATGGGAAGAAAATTGTCCAATGTTCATATTATGAAGTAAAGAAATAATGACCATGGGTTAGTGATTTAGATATTCTAACATTTTCAACTCTTTAAAACAATATTTTAACCTTTGAATTTGTGGGTAATTTGAAGTATGTTATCATTATATCCACAGGTTAAAGCATTATTAATATTAATGTCACCTAGATGGAACCACTATAAGGACAATTAGTTTTCACAAATAACAATTAGGCTCAAATAATCATACATACAGAGTATATAATAAAATACAAACAACTTACAACCTTAAATAATTTAATACTTAATTCTAGTGATTGTATTTAATTAGATTTAATAAATTTTATTTTAAACGTGCACACAGGAAAGGGCACAATTGGTTCCACTGAGTTTGTACCAAATAATACATCAGAGGCAGAATGTGATATATCCTTGGTCTGCACCACTCAGATATTAAATGACATTTCTGCCATATAGGCTTTGTTTATGCTCCTTACTTAGGTATTTATCATAGAGAGCTGAAATTTAGGACTATATTTTGTTGTTATGTAGGCCTACCCACACCAATTGTGCTTACAGTTTGTTCTGTTTTGTATTTACATTCAACATAGGACAAGTATAGAAATCTGTCAAGAAAACATCTTTTCCACAACACAAATTACCAGTACTTTGCCAAGGAGCTCTTATTCCAATTATTCAAATGCTATGTGTTTGAAGCAAGGAAGCAAAGACACTGGCCACAAGAAGCATTAACCATGCAGTTGTTAACAGTACAGGCTAAAGAAGACTTGGCTTCTCAGAAAGCTGCTGCTTGAGGACAAAGGTCAACTGATTTCCCTTGATCTCATCCAGATTGGGTTCTGAGCATTTTTTTTTTTTAGCCCCGGCAATTGTGCAAAGATTATCAGAAAAATTACTCACTCCAAGGTCACCTGAGCCACAGCGTCCATTGAACTGTATCCATTTTCCATGAAAATCTCTGTATAGCGGCCCATCTTGATTGCTTCTAGCCATTCACCTACTGATCTATAGGCTCCAGACCCTAGGGATCCATGTTCTGCCAACAAATTGGATACTCTAAAATGCATAAGACACAAACATTACAAGGCTTTTCTAACACAGTTTACTGTAATGTCAACTCACATGTAAGGGATCTGGGTGACTATGTATTTATAAGGGAATATATATATATATATATATATATATATTAACATGGAACGAAATAATTCAAAATGTGGGAGAACATAAAATCAGCAGACCAAGTTACTTTTAATGCGTCATGAAGGAAGACTTATAACAGTCTAATCAGTAAATTTCTATGAAACAAAACAATAGCTTAAATTTCATGTAGTATGAATGCATGAACTCAGGAATTATATGGCAACAGAATAATAGTGTATGATATGGTAATGTTGGATACATCATTATATGTTGGTCTAAGCCTACAGTATATACAACACCTAGTGAATCCTAAAGTAAACAATTAACCTTTAGTTACAATGATGTGCCAATGTAGGTTCATCAGTCTTCCACTCTGTTGGTGGATGTTGATTATGAGATGAAGGAAGGCTCTGAATGTGTAGAGGCAGGAGGTAGATGGAAGATCTCTGTATCTTTTGCTCAATTTCACTGTGCACATAAAGTTGCTCTAAAATTAGTGTGTACTAAAATTTTTCATATAGTCATTTAGATATATTTACTTTCTAGTACTGTTTTTCTTCACAAAAATATAAAAAATGCTACCAAATATAGACATGCAGAATAATTTGTGTGAAGCCAATTATTTTTAGAATTTCCTAGAGGAACCTGTACTTATTTAAGTTCATTTCTCAGAAACTGCAGGAGCTACTTAATGCTTCATTTTTCTCCTCTTATATAAGGATGGTTACTAATTCACCTGAAGCAAGAAGTAGAACCTAGAAAATAAACTATAATTCCAAAAGCATACAAAATCTGAATAGAATCAACTAAAACGTGGTATGATTTTTACTCTACTAAATTCATACTCTGACCAATAATAATAAACATAATGACATGATGATGATGATTTCTAGAATTGTATCCTAAGATATAATTATCCTCCAGAAAATGGTAAAAAAAAAAAAATATGTACCTGAGCATCAAAATTAATTTACATGCCTGTGAATAGGAGACCAACTACTGTAAGATACATGACATAATTATCTTTCTTTGAACTTGTGCTCTCTGGACTTTTTCACATTTCCATTTATAGTTCAGGCAACCTGTGTTTCTAGAAAACTAATTCTATAAAAATTTTTCAATGATATCTATTTTGCCAAAACCTGTGGACATATTTCAATCTACAAGATGACTGACCTCTCAGAAACATACCTTTCACCTCCCTCTTGAAATCCTATCCCATACCAACATGTTTTGAGTTACTATTTCCCCTATTTTTAGTTCCTGTGATATTGTGTGTTCCAGGATTCTCCACAATCTCCATTGCCTTTTGCTCCTTTTGCTGACTTGACAATTTACAGGAAGCCAGGTCTTAGCTCTACATCTTCTCTCTCAAACTATAACTCCATTCTATGCTGGGATATTTTACTCACTTTTATAGTTTCAAGTAGCAACTGTTTTTCTTATTTTTTATCTCCAAACTAGGTTACGTATACAGCCACTGGTCTAATTTGATCCTCCATATTTCTGACAGGAATGTCACCCAAACATGTCCCAAACCACACTCTTCATCCTCCCCACACATCTGCTAATAAGGTGCTTCCCATGACAAGATGTGGTCCAGAAGTTCACCTTGTTCTCATCCTCATTCTCTTCCCCATCTATTGTCATGCATATTATCCATGGTCCATCAGATATGTCGCATATGGGTTAACTTCTGCCTCATTTATCATAGCTTTATTCCAAAACTCCATTAGGACTGTCCATAATCATTATACCCTCTTGGTTATCTTCTTGAATCATACTCTAACTCTCTACCAAACAAGTTTTTTTGTGAGGTCGTCATTTTGTGCAGTCTCTTCCAAGAGTGTATTGGCTACATAAAGGCAGATACTTAGGACTATTTCATACCTTATACTCGGCTCTTAGCTTTCAGAATGACATGGAAGTAAAGGGGAATATTTGTTGAATAAATGAATGAATATATTGCAGTGATTTGTAGCCATTAAACAGCAAAGTCTAAAACTTGTTAGGGATAGCAATACAGGTGGAAGAAGTTGGGGAGTAGGATTTTGAAATAGAAATTATAAAAGAGTTGCAATTTTTGAAAATAGCAGGGTCCAGAATATAACCATGGGTAGGAGAGCTCAAGGTAGAGTTAAAGAACAAAATCTATGGAGTAGAAAATTTCAAGGTATTGACAGGTATTCAAACTCATTTACATGGTTACTGAAATCACCAAATCTTGTGACATTGGTGAGGATGAAAAGTGAGAGAGTGAACTAGGAATTAACATCTGTTAGAATTTGGATTTGCACATGAATAAAGGAGGGATGGTGGCAGGTACAGTTTAAAAGCCAAACTTATTTATATAAAACCCAGCAAGACAAATCCTATATACTATAGGAAAACATAAACAATTTTTAAGAAAAAAATTGCTGTCAACTTAAAATATCATGATGAAGTAAATTAAATAACTTTAGAATATTAAGTATTCCTTTTTTATTATTACCTTCCTTTGTGGCCATTTGTGACAAAGTAACATAATTTAAATGAATGGATGAGAGAAAGGTGTAATATCTTACATTTAAATAAACAATTCAAAAGCAGATATTTAGGGAGCAACATAAGGGATAATTGCTAAAAAGAAGCATTCTTCAATTGCTACCACAGAAAGGAAAGAAGGGAATGGAATTATAATGAGAAAAAGAAAAAATGGAAACAAAGTCTTTGTAAATAGGGAGGGATGGAGGGGTTGAAGGGAGGGCAGGGGAAGGGGGAAAAATAAG